TTTTTTTTTTTTTTTTTGAGAGGTTTTTGCTATAGGGCATGTGCGCTTGCCAGAAAGAGAGACAGAGATAGAAAGCGAGAAGTCATCTCCCAGGGGGGATGGCCACGCTGCAATCCTTTCTCCTCCATTCTCCTCTCTGGATCTTGGGCATGCACGCACACATGCCCGACGTGAGTTCAAGCCACTGGGTCTGGGACTTGAACCACGGTCGGCTACATGGGAGTCCAGCGACATAGCCATTACCCTAACTGCTGGCCCCCCTCTCCCCCGCATGATTTTCAAGCTGCTAGGTTTCAGTCTCCAACAGTAGTTGGCCATGAGGGAACCCAGTACCTTAACTACCACACCACCTGCTGGCCCCCTCAGTGTTGCCTTTTTTTAAATTTTATTTCTTCTTCTTATTATTTTAATTTGCTGTAGGGCACCTGTGCTCATGAGACAGACATGCAGACAGACAGTGAGAGAGAAAAAGAAAGAAAGTGAGAAAGCAAGGGTCTGGGACTTGAACCACAGTTGGCCGTGTGGAAGTCTAGTGCCTTAACTATCACACCACCTGCTGGCCTGTTCACTGTTGCTTTTAAAGCCAGATTTGTAATAGCTAAAAAATAAAGCAGGTTTCTTTAATCAAGCATTTTATGCTGGGTGCCTTACCTATAGTCTTCAATCTCATTAACGCAATAAACCTATAAGCAACAAACTTGTAAGGTGTCAGAGATCAATATTGTCACTATCTTGTTTTATGAATGAGGAGGTTAAGAGGTTTAGACTTGCCTAAGGACTGACAGTGTTGGCTGGCTGAGTTTGATTTCAGCTTGGCCCCTAGCTCCAGAGCCAGCCTATCAGCCCCAGTGGGCTCTCTTTTCCATGGGGGAAGCCTCAGATTGATGACAGGTATTCCATAACCCAGTTTTAGTGTATTTTGGAAAAATGTGAAGCCTTAAATGACATTTTCGTCTGCTCTCTCTCTTTTTTTTTTTTTTCCCCGTTTTTAATTCCCATATCCCCCTTGTGGTGGAAATGTGAACTTTCTTTACAAGCAGGCTCAGGCTGCTGAGTTATTGACAGTTCTCATGTTTCGGCAAGTCTGGGAGACAGAGGGTGTGTGCAGTCGTCACACAGAGAGGGAGAGGAGAATGGGAGGGAGGGAGAAAGCACCTCATATGAGGCATGGCCACACCACAATCCCTTCTGCATTTCTTTCTCTTGTCAACATTTGGCGTGCACATATGTATGCCTGGTGTATTTTTTCTTTTTTTAAAGAATTATTTATTTAATTTTTATTTATTCATTAATTTTATTTTAAATTTGATCAGAGAGAGACACACACACACAGAGATAGACAGACAGAGAGAACTTTTTGGTGTTCTGTGACTTGAACTGTGGTCAGCCATGTGGGAGTGTCCAGTGCCTTAACTACCATGCCACTTACTGGCCCCTCTAGTGTGTTTTTCAAGCCTCTGGGACTGAGAATTGAGCCTTGGCCAAATGAAGTCCAGCTATCTCTCTCTCTTTTTCTTTTTTTTTTTAAGAGAGATTTTTGCTATAGGGTACTTGCGCTCACCAGAGAGAGAGAGAGAGAGAGAGAGAGACAGAGAGACAGAAAGAGAGAAATACCCCCCCGCCCCCAGGGGGATGGTCATGCTGCAGTCCTTTCTCCTCTATTCTCCTCTTGCATTTACGCATGCATGCACATGTGCCCAGTGTGAGTTTTAAGCTGCCGGGTCTGGGACTCAAACCTTGATTGACTATGTGGGAGTCCAGTGATATAACCATTATGCCATCTGCTGGTCCTGGAATCCAGCTCTCTTAATCACTAGGCTTATGGGTATGTGCAGTGGTCAGTCTTTTTAAAAAAGTTATTAAAAATTTGTTTTTTAATTGTCAAAGGGTGTGGGTGCATGTGTCTGCCAGAAAGAGACAGAGAAGAAGAGAGTGCATCCCACACTGGGGTGTGGCCATGCCTCAGTCCTTTTTTCTCCATCTCTCCCTTATGTCAGAATTTTAGGCACACGATGAGTACATGCCTGGTATGTTTTCCAGGCCACTGGGCCTGGGACTCAAACCATGGTCAGCCACGTGGGATCCAGCTCTCTTAACCACTGCACTATGGAGCTGGCACATCCTGTTACTTGTTCCTGAATGTTTTCTTTTTACAGTGTTTTTACAGGATGGGCCTTTTCCCCTTTTACTTTCTGGAAAAACAGATGGGATGTCAGTTTAAACGAGAGAGTTCTATTTAGTGCTTTGTAAGCACTGTTGTCAGGTAGAAATAAATTTGAGCCCAGACAATTTGATATTAATAAAACATGCAGTAATGTGTTATGTTCAGCTATAATTTAGTGATGGGGAACCTGAAGGGAAAAACATAGTAGCTGGTTAAAGAGAAAGCTTAACCTCTCTTTTTCTTCCTTCTCCTTCACCTGCTTTTTCCAGATCGTAAAGTGGTCAGACTGTTGCTTGCCATTAGCTTGCAGACCTGGGGATCCTTATCAGTTAATTGCTGAAGCAAGTGTGGACAACTTCAGCAAGCTGGGGGTGGCGTTTATGGAAGACAGACTCCAGATGGATAATGGACTGGTGCCCCAGAAAATCACGTGTGAGTAACTTTGAGGAATATTTCTGTCATCATGGGACATTATGAGTTACTGTTGAAGAGTTTGAGGGCTGTTGATGTGCTGCTGATGTGACCGAAGGGTGAGGTTTAGATTCAGTTTACTGACATCAGCAGGTTGGATTTAACATAGTAGTTACAATACGTACATATGCCAAATACTTTTGGAGTTGGGGGGCTTATCCTTGAGTGTGTCTTTAGAGTTTATTAAATTTCTTAAACTAGAATTTCTCATAACTGTGTTGTCCCTGAGATGACATTTAGCTAGCTTGCTTGCTTGCTTTCTTTTAATTGCAAGAGGGCTCGTGTGCTCACTAGAGAGTGAGAGTGAGAGCGAGAGAGCACTTTTTGGTGTGCTCACCTAAAAGAGAAAGAGAGAAGAGAATGGGGCATGATCACACTGCAATCCTCTTTTCCTCCATTTCTTCATCCTGTCAGGATTTTGGGCACATGTACACAGGAGCTTGTGTGTTTTTCAAGCTTCTGGGGCCAGGACTTGAACCATAGTTGGCCATGTGGGGTCCTGCTCCCTACATACAGGACTTTACCACTGTGCTATAAGGCACATGAGATAGTACTCAGATTCAGAACCCATATAATGTTTATTTTGTGCAAGTTTATTTTTAAGTTGACTTATTTTTTAATGAGAGAGGCAGACAGATAGAGATCCCCAAGAGGATCTTGTCACACCATGATCTCCCTGGTCTTCCAGCCAGCAAGAATTATCAGTACATTTGGTGTATTTAGGTCAACCTGGGATCGGATCCTGGGCCTTCCCATGTGACCCCAGCATCGTGTGGCGGTGCCCTGCTGTCTGTGTCACCACAGCTGGGCCTGTTCCAGGCAATTTAGTGTAGTGTAACTAGTTTCCAGGCTGCAGTTCTGAATGAATGGGAACCATAGCTAGCGTCACTGTGAAGTTCTAACTCCAAAAGCCTTTTACTTAAAATATGCATATCACAATTTTTGGGGACAAATCTTTTTTTCAGAAAACATGGCCATTCTTCATTAATTAAACTTAGAAGTGGGCTTTCTATGTCTATGAAAGTCTTTATTTCAAACGAGCAGATATGCCCCTTATCAGGTCTAGAAATGTATGTAAATCACTTAGTTTCCCTTCTGCCATGAACCACATAAGATGTACAGCGTGTGCTTGATGAAGGTTTTTTGAATCAGTGATTGTAAACTTATATTCCAGTCCTTAAACAAGACACTGCAAAGACCCTTCTCCCTGTTGATCCTCTGAGGTATCCTGAGAGAGGCTTGTCCCTGGGGCATGCTTGGATATGTCACTAGATATGTTTTTTTTTTTTTAATTAAATTTTTTTTTTTTTTTACCACAGAGTGACTGTGCTTGGCAGAGAGAGAGACAGACAGAGAGAGGGAAAATGATAAGTCATCCCCCAAGGGGATGGCCATGCTATAATCCCTTTTCCTCCATTCTCTCAGGATTTTGGGCACACACACACACACACACTCACACATGTGCCCAGTGTGCTTTTCAAGCTGGGCTCAGGACTCAAACCATGCACTTGGTCATATGGGATCCAACACCTTAACCACCACGTCACCTGCTGGCCCAATATGTGGCCTCTTTATTTCTGTTTCATTATTTTATAGGAGAATACATCCAAGCCATCGAGTCTATAAATAAGTAGGCAAAATCACGTCCCTGAATCTCACTTTCTTCCCCAGCCCATATAGAGATCTTAGGTTCTCAGATTTGTATAGCAAAGATGTTGTGGCATTGGGGATTCTGCATGGGGTGTTCAGGGGCACTCTCTCAGCAGGCGGGGGCAGTTCTGTGGTTCAGAGGATGTAGAGTGGGGCTGCAGGTGGGAGCCATGCAGTAGCTACCCTGTGTTCTAAGTCATGAAAGGCAGAGCACGCTGGGCATCTTGGACTCAGCTACATGTCAAATGAGAAGTGTCAATTAATTACCTTTCCTGTTTATGCTTTAGCTGTGACCTTGCAGGATTCTACTCTGACAGAACTTAAGGATCAGGCCTCCTATAAGCAAGCACAAATTCTTCAGCAGAACCCTGAACCTTCTGTTGAGATTAAACCTGAGCGGGATGTCATGGAGCATGTTGGCAAAGATGACCTGAAGGCTCTTGGTAAAGACCCCGAGCAGAATGGAGGCAGTGCCTCTGGGGATGAACCTGTAGAGGATGGGAGCAGGGAAGAGGGCTCCACTGTGCATCCTCACCTCCATCTCTCTAGTTGCCATGAGTGCTTGGAACTTGAGAGCAGCACCATCGAGTCAGTGAAGTTTGCATCTGCAGAGAACATTCCGGATCTTCCTTACAGCAGCAGTGTGGAGGGTGTTTCTGATGAGCTTCTTCCTAAAAGTGAAGGGAAGAGAGTCAACATCTCAGGAAAGGCACCCAACATCCTGCTGTATGTGGGCCCCGACTCCCAGGAAGCCCTCGGCCGGTTCCAGCAGGTCTGCTCGGTTCTGACTGACTGTGTGGACACTGACAGTTATTTGCTGTACCAGCTGCTGGAGGAAAGTGCTCTTAGAGACCCGTGGCCAGACAACTGTGTGCTGTTGGTCATTGCTACCTGCAGCTCCATTCCCAAAGACCTGCACCAGAAGTTCATGGCCTTTCTCTCTCAGGGAGGGAAGGTGTTGAGCCTGTCTTCGCCCTTCGTGTTTGGTGGCTTTCAGGTGACAAGCAAGGGCACACTGCACACGACAGTCCAGAGCTTGGTTTTCTCCAAGGCTGACCACAGTGAGGTGAGGCTCAGTGTCCTGAGCAGTGGCTGCATTTATGAGGAGGGCCCTGGAGAACAGCTCGGCCCCGGCAAGCTCCATGGCCACCTGGAGAATGTGGATAAAGACAGGACAATTGTGCAGGTGCCTTTTGGAACATGTGGAGGAGAAGCTATTCTTTGCCAGGTACTGAGGGTGATGTCCATTTGATGATCTGTGGGTATCTTTGAGAAGGAATGTGCTCTTAAAGGCTGTGTATTTGGAGGTTTCAAGAGCTTGTGTGCTGGGCCAGCTCCATGGACTGGTAGTGAAGGGAGCCAGCTCCCACTGACCAACTGCATTATTTGAATTTGGCCCCAGTGGCTTGAAAAACATGGCACATGTGCATCTGTGACCCAGATCCTGAAAGGATGGAGAAGTGGGGAGAAGAGATTGTGGCATGACCACACCCCATTAGGAGATGCTTTCTTCCTTTCCCTCTCTCTCTGTCTCTCTGTCTGCCTCTGATAGAGTGCATACACCTTCTGGCATCTTTTTTTTTTTTTTAAAGAGTTTGTTGCTGTGGGCTCCTTTTGACAGTGGGTTCCTCTTGACAGGTGGAAGTTTTTGCTAATGGCGAATGGAAGGCTTAGTTACTAGTTCGGGGCTTTCGTGATGACCCTGATTTTTTTATTTTTTAGATGTTTATGCTATAAGGCACTTGCTGGAGATACAGAGAGAGACAGAGAAACAGAAAGTGAGAAGTCACCCACCAGGGGGGCATGGGCAACAATTCCTTCTCCATTCTGCTTCCATTCTTTTTTTTGCGAGAGGTTTTTGCTATAGAGTGTGTGCGCTCACCAGACAGAGAGAGAGACAGAAAGTGAGAAATCACCCCCCAGGGGGGATGGCCATGCCGCAATCCCTTCTCCTCCATTCTCCTCTCGGGATCTTGGGTACACACGCACACGCGCCCGGCGTGAGTTTTAAGCCACCGGGTCCGGGACGCGAACTGCGGTCGACTACGTGGGAGTCCAGCAACATAGCCATTATGCTAACTGCTGGCCCCCATTCTGCTTCCATCCTCACCTGGCGTGAGTTTTAAGCCACTGATTTCAGGACTCAAACTGTGATCGGCTACATGGGAGTCCAGTATCTGCTGGTCCCGTGATGACCCTGATTACCCAAAATACTTGTGATGGAGGAACAGGCAGATGGTGTATGGTTAATTAAAATTTCTGGCTAACTAAAGATTAGCTAGAAAATTCTTTCTTGTTTTGACCTTTACTTGTAATAACCTTTCTAAAATACACTGGTCTACACCATGGTTAATATAATTGAGCCATGGGCCAGCAGGTGGCATGGTGGTTAAGGCACTAGATTTCCACATGGCAATCGTCACCCAAGTCCCAGACCTAGTAGCTTGAAAATCACAAGAAATAAATAGATAAATAAATGAATAAATCTAAAAAAATACATATAGTGAGCCATTATTTATTTATTTATTCCTTTATGAGACAAGGAGGGAAGAAGGAAAGTAGGGGGAGAAAGAGGGAGAGAGAGTATTTTGACAGGGCCTCGTGTTGTGATCCTCCTGCCTCAGCATCCCCATCTTAGCTGAGATTATAGGTGTGCCTGGCATGTTCAGATTGGCCCCAGAACTGAACCTGGCCCTCCCATGTGGCTACCAGCCTCCCAAACATGGTGCTACCTGTGAGCCACCATGGCTGGGCTATTAAGCCTTTATTTAACATGGGAAGTTGAGTATCTTGGGGTGGTGATTTCGAACACTAGTGACCATCATGTTAAACTATTGCCTCTGATTGCTAGAGTAGTTGGTGTTAAAAACGTTTTCAAATCCTCAATTTTTTTCTTATGTTTTTTCACTCTTAAAATATAAGTGCTAAGAAAAATTTCAGATAAAAGACTATTGAAATTATTTAGATTTATGGTATATTAATACATAGATAAGGAAAAAATGGAGAAAGGATGGAGGAAAAATGCTAATTTCCTTTCCCTGCTTAGGAGGTCCTTTGGGTCTTCTGTTACTAATTTGCTTTGTTTGTTTTGTTTTGTCTCATTTCTGTTTTCTTTTTCTTGATTTCTTTTGTTGGTTTAAGTGTGGATAGGCTATTTCAGAATTCTATATAATTTACTGCGTATCTTGTAGTGCTTCAGGGCAAAAGTTTCTCTTACAAGGACACTCCTTTGTCCTTAAGGATGTGATGATCTGATGCGAAAAGTAGATGTAGGTGTTTTGTACAGAAGAGTTCCCAGGATGAGTGTAATAGATTTTGTTTTACTATAGAGATCGTTTTATTGATATTGAAAATCACTTACTTTCGTTCTGCTTTCATGATGTGTCTGTCCAGCCTTTCTAAAAATTAAGTCTTTAAGTTTTCTGAGAAAACATTCTTCAAGGGGATCTAATTTATTTATTTTTTTCTATTCTAAATCCCACTCATTTGTTCTTAAGAGAATTAAAGATTAAAATGTAATATTTTAATTACTAAACTTAAGAAATTTGGGTGTCAGGACAGGTGAACATGCCCAGCCAAGTAAGTTCCTGTAAGTACTACAAGCCACACGAGGGGGTTATTAGAGGCCTACTAAATGTTCCTCTTATCTTTTTCTCTGCAAATATGGTAACTATAGTAACTGTGCATACTCAGAAAATCCACTTAAAAACCTGACTTCCTAGTGCCATATTTCAGTTCTGAAGAGCGAATTTTACCACCCCTGTGTGCAGACTTGTACTAGAAAATTGATTCGGCACTGCTGTGATCCATTTCTCCAAGTTACATAGCAAATCTGCTTGCTGCACCATTTAAATTGACCCCTTTACCATCATAAAATTTGATACTCCAGTACATTGCCCTAGGAAAAAAAGGCAATATGATGCAGCTTCACAAATCAGATGCAGAGGATTAGAATGTCATTTTTGATTTTAAATGACTTCCAGTCTTCCCTGTGACAGGGTCACTGTTTTCTCCCCAGGCTTGTGTCATTGTGATACCTTGCTGAGATAAAGTAATAAATATTATCACAGACTGGGTAATTTCCCCTTCCCCTGTTCAATTTCATAGTCTTCATCTTGGTAATAAATCTATTAATGATGTAACCCAATAAGAGGAGGCAAAGTACTTCAAGGACAAACACAGCTGCATGCTAGCTGGTGGGTTCCCAGCCGAGTAAGCTGCATATTTGATGCTTTTGCCATTTATGATCATAAAGAGAGGAACTGTTGTTCCTTTGGTTGCTGTATTGATCAAGGTTGCAGGGATGACTTGGGGCTGTGGACGAAGGCTGATATTTGACTGTTAAGTAGACTAGGAGCTTGGCCTGAAGTTGTCCCAATAATAAAGTCTCTAAAATGGACTTGAAAAGATTTTGTATCTTTTTTGTTTCTTTTGCTTTTAATTGCTAGAGGGCACATGTATTTATTAGAGAGCAAGGGAGAGAAAGAAAGTACCTCCCAGTGAGGTATGGTCATACTGCCATACTGCAATCCCTTCTCTTACATTTCCCCATCCTGTTGGGATTGGGGGTTGGGCATGCACCTGGCATGTTTTTCAAGCTGCCACGCCAGGATTTGAATCATGGTTGGCCCTGTGAAATCTGGCTCCTGAACCACTAGGCTATGAGGCTGAACCAGATTGTGTTTTTTTCCTTTTTTTAAAAAAGAGTTTTGCCATAGGGTGCATGCACTTGCTGGAGAACAGAAAGAGAGAGAGAGAGAGAAAGAGGGAAAGTGAGAAATCACTCCTGGGAGTGGGTGGTGGGCATGTTGAAATCTCTTCTCCTCCATTCTCCTCCTGGGATTTTGGGCATTCACACACATGTGCCCAGTGTGATTTTCAAGCCACTGGTCTGGGCCGCGAACTGTGGTTGGCCATGTGGGACTCCAGCACCATAACCACTATGCTATCTGCTGGCCCCCAGATTTTGTTTTCTTCTTTAGCTTTACACAGGGCAGAAGTGGGTCTGCTTTTAAGTCTGCTTTTAAAGCAGAGTTTCTCAACCAAGGCACTGTCGACATTCTGGGCCAGAGACTTCCTGAGGTCAGGGGTAGTCCTGTGCATTTTAGGATGTTCAGCAGCATCTCTGGTATCTGCCACCTGAAGCCAGTAGCACTTTCCTTCCTCCATTTGTGACTGGAGACATTTGTAGTTCTGGCTTTTAGGTCAGTTAAAAAGCCTTAATTTTAGAAGAAGCCAAGTTACAGAAATATGGGGGGGGGAGAGTAATTTAAAAAGTTCATGGAAATGTGTATTATAAAAGATTACATGGATTTCAAAGTTTTTTTTTTTTTTTTGGAGAGGTTTTCGCTATAGGGAGCATGTGCTCGCCAGACAGACAGAGAGACATAGAGACAGAAAGCGAAAAATCACCCCCCAGGGGGGATGGTCACGCCGCAATCCCTTCTCCTCCATTCTCCTCTCAGGATCTTGGGCTCGCCCGCTCATGTGCCCGGCATGAGTTTTAAGCCACCGGGTCCGGGACGCGAACTGCGGTCGACTATGTGGGAGTCCAGCGACATAGCCATTATGCTAACTGCTGGTTCCCGGATTTCAAAGTTTTTGCATAAAAAACAAACTTGTAGTTTATTCCATTTTCCCCATGAACAACTTGAAGTTTCCGCACAGACCCTTCACTATGGCAACAGTACAACCAGAGGGCGAGACCAGGAGCACAAGCTGCCACGTGCACATTCTTGTGTGTTGTTCTGTCTCTGTTCTTTCAGAGTTCTTTCCATTTCCATTGTGGAAGCACCTAAATGTGAAGATCTCCAGATAGAAAACAAAAGCAATTGTCAACTGGCTCTGTGGTGCAGTGGTAATGTGCTGCTCAATACAAGCCAGATCCCACATGGTGATCTTGGTTCAAATCCTGGCTGAGATTATGTTGTTAGATTTGTGATATTCATGTAATGTCAAAATTTTCTCTGCCATTTTCTTATTAAATTTGTTAATGATGAAGGGGTTAACCTGGATCCTCAGAGAAGTAGATGCCAAGACAGAATTATACATGTCAAGATTTCATTGGTGGTGTGAGAGAACATGGGAATATTGGCAAGGCAGGCTGAGACAGCTGTCACACTGGGGTGCAGTGTTGATCCCTGAGTGATGAGGAGGGTGAAGGCACACCAGGTAAAAGCACCCTGGATTGCTTCGTGAACTAAGGAGCTTTTGGAAAGGCCATTGGGAAGGCTTTAAGCTTACGCTAGGGGCACACTTCGGCTCTGGTCAGCCTGAAACACGTCAGGCATGCATGCAGGTGTCCAGGATCCAGTGGTCTGAAGGAACTGAGGGAGGGGGTTGTGGCATGGCCAGACTTTGTGGAGGATGCTCCTCTCTCTCACTTTCTTGCTCTCTCACTCTCTCATGCACGTGCGGACACTCTGTCGTGAATAAAGACGAGAAAAGCAGTTCTCCCAGGCTCAGTGGTGACCTTCTGCCTATGCCCTGAATCTCAGAGACCTGTCTGCAGCCTGATTGCAGGTTTCTAATTCGTGTCTTTTTTTTTTTTTGGAGAGGTTTTTGCTATAGGGTGTGTGCTCACCAGACAGGCAGAGACAGAGAGATAGAAAGCGAGAAATCACCCCCCAGGGGGGATGGCCATGCCGCAGTCTCTTCTCCTCTATTCTCCTCTCGGGATCTTGGGCACGCACGCACACGTGCCCGACGTGAGTTTAAGCCACTGGGTCCAGGATGCGAACTGCGGTCGACTACATGGGAGTCCAATGACATAGCCATTATGCTAACTGCTGGTCCCATCACTTCGGGTCTTTCTCACGTGAATGGAGTTCAGTACATTCACTCTGTGTGCTTCTCAAATATCCTGTGTACGCACCCTGCCCAGTGAGCCCGTGTGTTCCCTCCTCTCCGAGGCTTAGGTGGGAACAGAACCTTGCTTGTTTTATTCCTGCCACCTGTGAGGGTTGACCTCTGGCATAGTTAGGTGCTCACATGCATTAAAGGGGACTTGCCGCCTTGCCAGTGGTGCACCACCACAGAGAACAGAGGCTCATGCTTAGGGCGTGGGGGCACTACATGGGTGGCAGATCCCTTAGAGGTTTCAGCCTCCTCCTCTCCGCACCTCTGCTCTGCACACTGGCGGGTGTGTGCTGTCCTGGGTGGAGCAGCTGCAGTGGCCAGCTGTAGTTTGGGGACTGTGTTGGACAGTGTTCTGCTAACCTTTTTAGAGTGCCCTTAACTTTTAACATTTGAACCATTCTGGGCAATATATTTGGGTAGAATATTTAGCTTGGTTAAGGCTTGGATGAGAAATGAGACATTTAAGTTGCCTAAAGGCTGATGTCATGCTTTTCATTTTCATAAGGCTCCTATAACAGACTAGAAGCTTTGCCGTACGATAGGCAAAACAAAGCAAAATGAAGCGCACCTCTCTGCCCACTCAAAACAACACAAATTTAAACATAGAATAGAGGTTTTTATGGGCACCAGAAAGGCCTCTTTTTGTTTTGTGTATTTTTTCTATGGGTAAGAGAGACAGACAGCACCCCCGACAGAGTCTGGGAGCCATTCATCCCATTTCAGCCATCTTAGACCAGGGCACGTGCCGGGAAAAGTCAGGGATGCTTCTGGGGGAGAACCTCGTACTTTCCCATGTAGGTCAGCCCTACCACCACCCACTGGCTCTCTGAATTCCCGTAAGCACTCTTTTTTGTTTGTTTTGCTGTGATGTACACTCTCTAGTGAGAGAGAGAAAGTGAGAAATCACCCCCTAGGGGGCGTGGCCATGCTGCAATCCCTCCTCCACTGAGGATTTTCACACGCATGCACATGGACCTGGCGTGATTTTAAGTGCCGGATCTGGGACTTGTACCATTGTCAGCTGTGTGGGAATCCAGAGCCTTAACCACTACACCACCTGCTGGCCCCCCTGCAAACAGGCTTAAAGTGATGAGTGAAAGTACTCTCCTCCCAGTACTGCTTCCCGGTTCAGACTAACAAGTAGGAAGGATGTTTCCAGCATGACTCGATGCCCCCTGTTCCAGTTTAGCAGCAACCTCTTTGGGTTCTGCACATAGGTGTTTCTCAGTGTTTTGGTCTGTAACCAAGTTAAGTAACTTTCCCAAAGTCTCACGACTGATCAGTGATAAATATCAGATATCAGAACCTGGACAGTGTTTGATGACATGCAGGGTTTTTCCACCGTGACCTCTCAGCCCAACATCCATGATTTCAATAGGCTCTTTGGAATCTTTTATTGTTTGCCATTACTTTCCAAATATTTAGGTTCAAGGACCAGCAGTTGGCGTAATGGCTATGTGCTGGACTCCCATGTAGTCAACCGCGGTTCGAGTCCTAGACCCAGTGACTTAAATTTATGCTGGGCATGTGTGCGTGCGTGCTCAAGAGCCCGAGAAGAGAATGGAGGAGAAATGATTGTGGTATGGCCATCCCCCTGGGGGGGTGTGATTTCTGGCTTTCTGTCTCTCTGTCTCTCTGTTTTCTGGCAAGCACACGCACCCTATAGCAAAAATCTCTCCATAAAACCCCCAAAAAACAAAAAACAAAAACCCCCAAATATTCAGGTTCAGAATTTACATGGTATTAGAAGAAATTTGTGTTCAAGTTTTCAGAAAAATTGGTGAAGAAACTGACTTCTTAGTGTCTGCAAGTGGCCCCAACTTACAAAGTGGCATCTTTGTCCTTCAGGTACACTTAGAACTACCTCCCAGCTCTTCAGAAGCGCAAACTCAAGAAGATTTTAATTTACTCAAATCAAGCAATATTAGAAGATACGAAGTCCTTAAGGAGATCCTGACAGCACTTGGCATAAGCTGTGCTGTGACACGAGTGCCCGCCTTAACACCCCTGTACCTGCTGTTGGCCGCCGAGGTGAGTGTGGGCTCAGCTGGGCAGGGAGCGCCGCCCTGTGGCCCTTCAGCCAGTGGCAACCCTTGATCTTCACCAGTTGGTCTTGGTTTTGATTTCCGTTTTGATTTTCTATTTTGACTTTGGGTTTGGAGACCATGTCAAAGGTGTGCAAGTGTAGGTTGTTTTTAGTGTTTGTGTGGAAGGGTTGGAAGGTGTGAAACCTGCTCAGTATTGCCCTTTCCTTGGGAGGGGAAGGGTCCCTGCTTTATGTGTCAAAGGTGTGTTGGGAAATCACAGGGTTTTCATTTGGGGTTAAGCATTTGCTCTGAGGTGGGCCTCTCTCAGCCAGTCTTTGGATGGCAGAACGCAGCTTCTGCTTCGCTGGCGCTGAGGTCTGCCATCTTGTGGCAGAGGGGCTCCAGCAATTTTACCTGCCTTTTCTTGGAAAAAAGAAATCCCTCACCCCAACATGTATTCATTTATTTATTTTTAGGTTTTTGCCATAGAGTGCTTGCATTTGCCAGTGAGAGACAGGGAGAGGGATAGTGAGAAATCATTCCCAAGGGGGAGGGCCACAGTTTTTATAAAAATGGAAGCATTATCTTTGGGGCCGTACTCGGTCACTTGGAAAACTTAGTTTTCAGGCAAGAGGAGAGCTGTGAACTCTCTGGGTATAATGTGTTTACCTGGAAAGTACAGATATAAAATCTGAGAGCATTTAGGATTATGATAACTTACAGGTTTGTTTGAGGACTAGATCAAACAATATATTGGAAGTTTGGTAAAAATTATATTATTTAAATAATAGAGCAGTTATTGTCATCATTAAGTTGTTGGGAGGGCAAATGAATTAAAAGTATAAATGTACCTAACAAGTATCTAATACTTAGTCTAAAAAGACTACAAGTAATGTATGTATGTATATATGTATTTTTTATTTTTAGAGGTTTCTGTCTTATGTTGCATGCTCGTCAGAGAAAGAGACAGAGACAGTGAGAAGGAAAGTGAGAAATCCCAGGGAGAATGGCCACATTGCAATCCCTTTTCCTCTGTTTTCCTCTTGGGTTCTTGGGCTCGCATGCACATGTGCCTAACCTGAGTTTCAGGCCACTGGTTCTGAGACTTGAACTGAGATGGCCTTGTGGGAGTCCAACAATGTAATTGCTATGCCATCTGCTGACCCCACAAGTAACTTTTTAAAAAAATTATTTTATATAACTTTATTCATTCATTCATTTATTTATTTCAATTTGACCAGAGATGGGTAGAAAGAGAAAGAGAGAGAGAGAGAGCAAGCTGCCAGGCCTGGGACTTGAACCATAGTCAGCCATGTGGGAGTCCAGCATCCTTAACCACCAGGCCACTTGACAGCCCCCGAGTAATTTTTTTTAAAAGAATTTTATTTAAAAAAATTTAACTTTATTTATTTATTTATTTATTTATTTATTT